CCTGTTTGCAGAACACCCGGATGCTCCTGGGACTGCTGCTGCGCCAGCAGATGTCTGATTCAGGCTTCCAAAAGGGTGAGAAGTACCGGAAGGGTGATGGAGGACCGCGTGAACGGTGCCTAAGGAAAGAAGAGGATTAGGAGGGAAAGGGTGGCAGATTCTGCTTTTAAGCGAGGGTGAATGCCAAGAACGTTTCGCCGAGAAAGTTTCGTGCCAAGGAAATAAAGTTTCGTTTCGAAGGAAGTTTCAGTTTGATCAATGTTTTCGACTCAAATGAATTTGTTTCATTTCGAAGGTAGAAATGTTTCGCGTCGGGTGAAATGTTTCAATCATCGTAGGTAGGAAGCATGTAGGTGTAAGTCGTATAGCTATAGAGGCACCGGGCTCATAACCTGTTCAAATGTGTACGGTACGGTACTATCTTAATAACTTTGTACGAAAATACGACACAGTAGTAAGAGTATACTGCGGGCACGCCAAGCGAGGAGGAATTTTGTATGAAGGTAGATTGGTAGTAGTTCTTATCCTTGATTCTCTTAAGCGAGATGGGTAGTAACTCCTATTTATACAGGTGCACATCCTTCGCGTAACTAAGAGGAAATGTAAGGGAAAACATAAGTATCGACGTGTTTGACCGTAACATAAGTAGGAAAAACATAAGTGCGAATGTGTTTGACCCTAAAGAACTGCCAAGGAAATCCCCTAAAACATGCGTAAATCTGACGCGGTGTGAACGGATAATTAGAACATAATTGTAAATCAAATGACCGTGCATGATGATGCATAAAATGTAAGAAATAAACCCGAACACCAGATAAGAAAAGCACGCCATAATCCCCGAATCGTATCATGAAATATCAATGAAATATACGTAATACATACTCCGCTGTAGTAATGTCCGTGAACTAGAAATAATACTAAGCAGAGGAATATGTTCAAATGTGTGGGTACGGCACTATCTTAATAACTTTGTACGAAAATACGACACAGTAGTAAGAGTATACTGCGGGCACGCTAAGCGAGGAGGAATTTTGTATGAAGATAGATTGGTAGTAGTTCTTGTCCTT